TGCTGCCGCATTCATATTCGCAACATTCTCCATATTCTGTGCTTCCTCGTGGTCGGCAGCAACATTCCTAGCCGCACCAGCACCAGAATCCTCAACAGTCTCCCTCGTATTCCTTCTCATGCTATGATTAGTCCTAGCCATCTACAATGACCGGACCCAGTTAAGTTAGTCCATCACTAACTTAACGTTTCACACAGAAACTTGTTTCACAAAGAAACATAGAAAACTTGTTTCACAAAGAAACACAGACTTACCGCGAGACTTAAGGCTTGGAAGGATGGTAAAGACTGCCCTAGAATCGACCACGCTCTGATACCAAATTGAAACGCTCCGACCCGGATTTCCTTACCGCGGTGAGGTTCCGGATCGGTTTATTCCAACCAAACTTGGCCATTTCAGATTAACCTCTTAAATTTTTCCACTCTTTTCCTTTACCTAGTCATTTTCAACATATTTTCGATCTAGACAAGACTTTATAGCATAAAACGTTCATACTTAGATTAAATAGCAAGGTTTCAATACAATGATCAGTTTGCTACATAAGCTATTACATTGTAAAGACCTAGCTACCCGATTCAATCCACCATTCATCCCTTTCCAGCCTTAGTCACCGCGGATCACACTTTCGGATTCCCATCACAGGCAATCTCTTTACCTGCATCCATAAAGGAGGCATAAGCAACAGAATTACTTAGTGAGAGCGGTCGTCCCGTCCTAATCATGCCCATCGGCATCAGTCACTTGTCGGCCCGATTATTCCAAGTCACCTGAGCAGTTTTCCCGCACCCAGACAAGCCTTAGCGAGCATCGCTGCCCCTAAGCGTGTTGCCTCATCTAAACTCTCGGTGAAAGGAATCAACCGTCACGATCAAGTTAGAAACAGATAAACAGACAGTCGGGAATCACCCTAACAGAACAAGACTCGATGAATCTATGCACGAAAATGACCCTAGACTTAGGCCCACGGTCACCTTAGTCACTTAGGCTCGATGATTGCTTGTCCTGTCTCAGTTCTGACACCTCTTGTCGCGATGATCCTTCACGTAGACACGATCGCCGATACACCCAGACACGTTCGCCGCCACACAGGCATGATCGCAGTCACTGTCGCTTGAGCCTTACACGAAATCTCTCGAGCCTTTTCTCTCTTTTCTCGGTAAAACTCTATGAAAATCTTTCTAAGTCGTAAAAACTAAGGCAATGGGGTAGTTTTGCCTTGATAAACTGCCCCAAAAATTGTCAGATAACCGTTCCCACACAAATCCATGTCTAAGACCCAGAATAATCGTTCTCACGTGTTTTCATTAAACAACGTGTCTTTGGATCGATAACCGTTCTCGCCAAATGGCCTTAGAACGTTTCCAGCTCGATCCGCAGTCTACCGTAACTGCCTTGTCCGGAAACAGACCGCAGTAACCGTCCTGTCGGAAACCGACCACGGTCTGAAAAATCTGCCCAGCTCAGATTTAACTGCCCAGCTCAATCTACTTCACAATTTCTACTCGGCCAAAACTGCCCACCGCGACTCGATCACTAGTCCGCGGCGGCCAAACCACGGATTACAGGCGTTACACAGCCCCGGAAAATGCTCAACGAAGTTAATTCCAAATTTGTAAAGAGGTACGACCTCGCAAAATATTGAATGGAGTCAGGTAGACAAAAAGTTACCGGCTTCCTCGGGTTATAACAACCTGTGTTACCACGTGAAAATGAGAGGCAAGACCTCCAAAGAATAAAATACGATAACGTGATGCATGTAACGAAAATCTTGGTGAATGCTAAATATGTAGCTGCTACAGGGCAAAGGTACAACAGACATGTTCATTATAAAGCTGATAGATCAATGATATCTGACAAAAGTAAATAAAAGAGGAGATCCTCCCCAAAAGGTTATTTTTTACCCCTACATATCCGACATGCTAACATGCTTAAAAAAAAAATAAACGTGAGAAGTTCACGAGGTCTATCCTCGGTATAAGCATCACCAAGAAAGTTCAAAGGACGAGTCTAAATAGCAAAGACACAAAAAAATCAAACAACAACAATTACTACTCGGTAGATGTAGGAGCGGACGTGGCTTCTGGAAACGTTGTGAAAGCCTCTGGGAAAACCAGCGGAACCTCCCCATTAAGCTTGGCGCATGCGGTCTCTACCTCCCTGAACTGTTGCTCAACAGGCAATGGTTCCCAGTTCTTCGCGTGACCATTCATGTATTCTTGCACCATCTTCCAGCGGCAAAGGATGGTTGCAGCAGGTCCAGCTACACGCAGTTTCTTCCTGTGGAGCGCAAGATCTTGCTCTAGCTGCTTGGAATTTACTGTCATCAAGTTAAGCTGGCTAGTGAGGTCGTAAACTTGATCTTTCAAGGTTTTACCCTCTGCCTCCTTGGTGGTAATGAGAGAATCCCTACGTGAGATCTCTGCCTCTTTGTCTTTCTTTAGGAGTTGATTAGCCTCTTTGAGACGAGCAACCTCTTCTGTCAAAACATCAAGTTCTGTTTTGACATGACTACAAACATACATCACCTACAAACAAGGTGAAACCATAATAACTCAAGACAAGTCGGAGAAAAATATATATGGAAAAATAGCGAGAGGAAAAGACAATGAACCTCCAAGAGAAGATGTTGCGACTTCTCAAGTATAGCAGCATGTCCTAGTTCATTCAAAGCTTCTCGGTCGCGTGGGAAAACTTGTTTGCTTAGATTACCTAAGGCGATAGAGTGGTCACTCGCAGTCAACAAGCTACCGCCTGGACAAACATGGGACTTTCTCTTGGTAGTCCTAGCAGGTTGGCGGGTCAAGTTAACTGTTGTTACGCTACGCTTAGGACCAACTTGTTCTGTCTGCAGTGGCGGTGCAGTGATACTCGCTGGAATGTCAGACATGGCCTCGCAAAACATTTGCAAAGCATCGTCTCCGATTGAACCATCGCCTGGTACAGCATCAAGAATTGACATCTCGTAACCTGCAAAGCAAAGTCATAAATATGGGGATGGGCAGGTGATTCAATAAAAATAAGACACAATGTCTATCATGTTGGCTTACCCCAAATGGAACTCTTCTCTAGTGCGAAAAAACTAGTTAAAAAGAGTACTTCACGTTGCTCTTTCGTGAAATCAAAAGCTCTCGTGACACCATTTACGCCTTCAGAGAACTTATCACACTCGATAGCTGCAT